AAAAAAAAAAAAAAGGAAGACGGGGTCAAACTGTAACCTGGTAATAGGTCTGTGCACTGGATCAAGCTGGTTGTTTTCAAAATTTTCATTTCTTCTGTGAAAGAAAACATCCTTAAGTGATTTTCAAGAAAAAAGAAAACAAAGAAGCAAAGAATTCAAGACACAGTAGGAGTATTGAGAGACATACTCGGACAAGCCTCTCTTATTAACAACGCAAGGATATGCTCTAGCTCCTACTAAATTCTGATTAATGACACTCAAAGCTCTTCTGTTGTGCCTAATCTCCTGCCCAAACTTTCTGCTACCCATAACTGCACCTCCTTCTTTATTCAAAAGAAAGAAAAATAAAAACCCAATGTTAGATTCTGGGGATCAACACCCATCTTCAATCTTGAACTGAAAAGAGAACTCAAACCAAAGTGATACGTATATACCTTGAAAATTTGTGGGTTTTACAAAATTAGGATGGTTGTTCTCATCAGATATATGATCCATTTTCGTTGGGTATCTGAAGGAACGAACTACCACCCCAAAAGAAGAAGAAGAAGAAGAAGAAGAACGAGGAGGAGGAAATAAAGCAAGCCCAAGGTAGCCTTTAAATCACTAAAAGAAAGAGCATTTAAAGAAGTAAACGCCCCCCAGAAAGCAGAAATCTACAGATCGAGATACAGAATGAACTTGTCTGAAAGGGAGTGAGAGAGAGAAACAAAAAGGGCAGGAGGGAGTGGGGAGAGGGGGCTCAGTATTTTCAAAAGCAACGGCTAGCTAGTGAAAAGTGACCGTTGGATCATGCGGAGAGGGATACGAGTTTCCTTGTTTGTCCTAACAACGGTCACCCAGGTTGTCATGTGGCCTGCCGCATCTGATTTCAAAATTACTAGCGATTGAGAGCCTGATTTGCTTTGCTTCTCGACAAAAACAAATGCTACTTTAATCAAATATCAAAAAACAAAAAAGTTTCCATCTTTGGGTTTGGTCACGCCGGCGGACTCAGGTTAGATTAGAGCGTGGGATGCGCTCTCTCCCACATTGGGCTTTTTTGGGGATTGGTACGGACTGCTCCAACACATCATTTACATTACATTAACTTATTGCTTACATTGAATAACCTATTAGAATCAGTAATTTCAGGTTTGAGTCATTGCTTTTCGGCATTATTTATGATTAAATTGCATGGATAAAGAAGTGTTCGCGAACTTTCTCACACATAATCTCTTTTAAATTCGTATTGATTTCTGTAAAAATCTTTAAAAAATAAAAAAAAAAACACTTTGAATGGATAAAGTTTTTTTTTAAATTGAAAAAAAAATATTCAAATCTTATTTTTTAAATATCGAAATTATAAACCAATCGATAAATCAAATGATCGCATGTTCTTTGAATAGATAAAAGATGATTAGGAAGATACACTCAAAAGAGAAAATGGCTCGCCATTCCCCTGTCAATGTCATTAAGTAGTACCATTGTCCACTGAGACCAACAGTTTGGATTGAGCAATTGATCAAAACAGAAGAGGGATTGTATACAAACATCACTCCCTAGCACAGACTAATGATTTAAAGCTACCAAACAATTTATAAGAGCAGACCATGGTGAAAGGAACCTTATCTCTACACTCAACTCTTTATTTCCGGAAGAAAAGTGAACAATATATCAATGCTTATAACCATATCAACCCATTCACCTGTCAAAATTTTGTTAAGAAATGACACTAGCATAAACCTAATCACGCAAAAGCTACATCTGCCTCTAGGATTTTCATTTTATCATACAACTTTCGTAGAAGAGAGATAATTTACTGGTCAGTTGTTGCCTCTACCTAAATAGCTGTTCTAGAAAGTGTAGCATGCAAAGAATGAAGTGATCACTTGAAGAGACTCGAAAGCAAAGTTCGACTGCCTTTCTTTTTTACTGCTTTAGGTTCATGTTTCTCAGTTTTTTCCTTCACCTCTTCCTTGCAACCTTCATTCCCTAACAGCTTTTGCCAATTAACTACGGTATCCTGGCTCAAATTATACTTGCCAACTACCTTTGTTTGTTTATTACTTACCTTCATATCCTTCTTAGCTTTCTTTTTACTATCACTCTTATGAGTATCTTCCTTTACCACTGTCCTTTCCTGATTCAGTAAATGACTTTTCTCATCTCCCGAGATGTTTCCTTGCATCAAGCTTGTCTCCTGTTCAGAAAACTTATATGCCTCTACTAACTTCTGGTGCTTCTTAGCCAAGTCCCGCAACTCCTCTTTAGCAATTTGCTTCTTTATAGCAGCATATAGTTCAGAAATATCGTGGTCACTGTCAACTGATTTTTGCTTCTTCGGCAGCCCTTGCTTGGCTTCAGGATTCAATAAGGATGGAACACGTTTTTTATCCTTCTTCAATGGAAGTTGATTATTTGCCTGAGTTTTCTCAATCACCTTTGGTTGCAGGTGGTCTTTCTCACCATAGGCTATCTGTGTTCCTTCTCCAAGGCAACCATCTTTCATTGTTTCTAAAATAATTTTGCCAAGTACATATCCTGTCTCACGTGGATCCCCTTTCCCAAGCAAGTGGTAGTTAATCCCGGGGCTCTCTCTCTGTCTTCCATTTATGAAAGATTCAATATCATCTACCATCAGGTCAAAAATTTTAGCAGCATCTCTTGCAGTTTTCTTTGGCACAAACACCTGGACAAACACTTAATTTACTTAAAAAGGATACATATACAAACACGTATGTTTTGCAGAATAATGCAAATTTTTTGGTAACAAACCAAAATAGTCCATTCACAAGCAAATCAAGGCATGATTGAGGGGCATTCTCTGATGGCAGGCTAAATTTACATCACGAATGAAAAACATGAAATACATCTCACTGGTAAGCAACACTAAAAATTTCAATGAAATAAGGCACTTACCAAACCAGAGCATGGGGATAACGGATATCTGGACATTGATTCAAATAGACTGCTTGTTTCAGTTAAGGCACATACAGAATCTTGCACCAGAGATGCAAACTGAGAAACTTCTTTGGCGAGGTCTTCGTCTGATTTAGTCTCAGAAAACCCTGAGACTTCAGGTACAAATTTAACCCCCACTTTAGTATGTTCTCTTGAAAATTCAACACCTTCCTTCCACTTTCCATGATACAGGACAGAGGCAAATGTCCAGACTACAAGTGCATCTTGAGGGTTGTTTACCAATGCCAGGTGAAAAATCAACAATCCAATCCTGTCCTATGCAGCAAAAATGATCAGCATGAACATCTCAATTATTGAAATACATAATAACGTGCAAATCCACTGACTCGATGGCCCATCCACCAATTCCTTGGATTTACATATTAATAATAATTTCCACCCTTTTTTTAATGTGAACCATCATATGCTGTACTAAAATATTTCCACAGACATTTAAGCTCATTCCTCTCAGCAGTAATATTGTCGATTCAATCTGCCTACAGGTTTTAAATTTTAACATGTAATTGCCAAACTGCCTAAAATTCAACAAAATACAAGTCTTAACCGCTCTTTACAATAGAGCAAGTTTTTGTTGATAATGACATTAACAAAGTTGAAGTCTTATGATGTTCTATGCTTGAGAAGAAAAAATACGGGTAACTCACCATAGACTGCTATCAGCAGGATGATCACAAGAAACCAACTTATCCAAATTGAAGAACAATTTCTGCCAAAAAGAAAATGACAAAAGTATCAGGAAGTAAAACTGTCAAAGCCAAACTTGTCATGTTTGAAAGACCTTATGCAAGTTCATAGACATGCAAGCCAATGGAAAGCATCTCACTCCTTTGAAAATTGCCATATTGAATTCTCAGTTTCATTATGGACAGGAATTATCACTTTAAAAAAATTTCCCCAAATTATATCAATTTTTTATGTTAAGCATTCCAAACCAGTTAAGCATATAATTATTATCTAATAATTTAAAATTTTATTTTGCAGGTAACAAATAATTCTTAAATTGTTAGCAGAACTGACAAAAGCATTCAGATTTATCATTCTATAAGAGGATAAATCTTATCTTTCTAGACAGGTATCAGTATAAACTTACTCGGACTATGCAGACAAATCCACCAATATCTCCAAATTACTTTGAATTCAGAATACTTTTAACATTGAGTATTTATATTGTCCCAAAAATAGGTAGACAGGCTTGATAAAGCCAACTTGGATTGCACAGCAACCAAAACCCACATAAATTCCTCCAAGTTACAAAAAAGGAGTTTCTTCATCAATAAAGTTACAAATACAAAAACAATTTGCTTTTTATATGAAGCCAAGCTCACCATCAGCATCATGGAATTCTGGGCGGATTTCTGCTGATTAATGTATGCTGCCTGTGAAGAAAACAAATCTCAGATAACCTCTCTGATGAGTAAAAGCAAGAGATTAAATTATGTACAACAACAAGCTAAAAAATGGGTGAACCTGAAATGGAAGTAAAATATTCAGCAGGTTAAATCTCTGGAGCAAGTAGATGGAGGACTCAGCAGCTCCATAAGACAGCATGTAGTTCAGTTCCAACATTAATCTGAACTGGATAAATGAAGAACATTATAGTGGTAAGTATCAAGAAATATATTAATAACATCACCTTAATTTTACCAAAAAAAAAAAAGATCCAAAGGCAAAGGGTTGTAAATTAGCCTCCGTGCATAACAACATATGCTATGGAATAAGGAAGAAACCAGTGAAGAGGATAACAACATCTCTCCCATGGATGAGAAAATGTGAATGGTACAAGAAAGGGACAAGAAGACTCACTAAGGAAAAGATGGAGAGAGACAGAGAGACAGAGAGCTAGTGGAGAAGACAGATTAACAGCAGGATAGTCTCAACTAATATTTCTAAAGTACCTTATCTAAACCCTCAATGGAGGATGAAAGATTGTGCATTGCACTCTCAGTATCCTTTGAAAATGACAAGCCTAGACGAGCCGCAATTCTTAAGCCCCGGAGAATTCTTGCTGCACAAGAAAAATTGCTGTAATTTTCAACTAGGGTCCCATAATGGAGCAGTCATTCCATCCAAATGTCTGATAAGAGATTGCAGACAGGAAAGCTAGAATCACCTACCACTGTCCTCTTGAAACGACAGATGAGCAGGGATTATCGTCTGTAACTGAGTCAACATCACCAAACAGATGAGGAAAAGGGGAGATATTAGTTTAGGTTATGAAACATATAAATTTGTTATCAGCAAGGGTGGAGAATCACCTTTAATGACTTCAGGTCTGACATTCCATTGTTGTAATCATAAATCCTAAATGTAAAAGGATCAAAAAATAAGCTGCATCCACAATTTCAAATAAAACCCTTATAAATTAGATGGTTTCAAACTCAACGTCGATTGTAAAGAAATGGTGGAGGAAGGTCCTTCACAAGCTAGCAGTAATATATGGATTATAATAATTTTTTCATGAATAAGCATGAATATATATTTATATATATATGGAAACTAATACCTATTGATAGTGAAGTCTCGATTCATGCTATTTCTCCAACGGATTAAGTCTTTGTCATCACATCCATTTGGGATTAAAGATGATAAAGCTTTTGCTTTGTCTTCATCATGTTTTGCCACTGTCTCAAAACTTGATACCTATTAATACATACAAATTCAAAATTACATATTAAGAAACTTCCACAGACTATCGAGGAAGTTGTAATTCAGAAGAAATATCATGGAAAGTTTCTTATAGTACTAAACCAGGAAACTGACCTCAATTACAAAACCTTTAATATGCACTCTGCATATTGGAAATCTTCGTCCAACAATCTGTGCACGATGAAATTTCTTCTTAATCTGTACCAAGATATTACAAAAGCAACAGAAAACATTGTACATCAATCCACATTTCCCTAGAAATTCAGGCTAAAGAATGGGGAATGAGAAGAAAACAAAAATATTGAGACCAAACCTGTTTAAGATTAGCAGTGGTAATTACGTCAAAATCTTTAGGTATTCTTTTTAGTAGTAAATCTCTAACACAGCCGCCAACTAAGTAGGCCTCAAAACCTGAAATATGTAAGACAAGAAAACTATTGAGCACAATCAAGTATTGATTTTGATACAAAAATGTGACCAAGTGAGCAAACTAGACCTGCAAAACACACTTAGTTGAAAGACCCACTTGCGTTTTAAGCTAAGAAACGTACATGAACTAGGCTGAATCTTGTTAGTAAGACAAATGGGCAGTTAAAGATGATCACCTTCTTTGTGGAGAGTGTTCAAAACAATCCAGGAGGGAAGCGAAATCATAGAACCAGTTATTCCCACCTTGCTTGCTTGAATCTTCTTCCATTTTGACGCGTCAACTACATCATTATTAATAAGAACCCAGGGTTAAGTTCTGATATAATGATGGAAGAAAAAAAGGCTAAACAGAAAGTTAAATCAGACAAAGAGAGGTACTTGGATGAAGTGCAGGATTAGGCGCTGGAGCCATTTCAGAATACAATTCAGCTTGGAAACCTCTTTCACCTAATGTTTGCTTGCACCTCTAAGCCAAAAATAAAAAACAAGTAAGATTCGGTTTTGTTGAAAAGATATTCGACGAATTGCCTTAAACAAAAACGAAAACAAAGAAACAAACAAGAACATGGGGTAACCTGAAAGCGAGGTAATGATTTGAGACGAGAGGAAAGGAAGGTTTTGCTTCTCAACAAAATCGCCATGTATAGCTGAGAAACATGGTGCGCGGCGTTATATGCCCGCTCTGCTCCAGCTCCTGCCCGACTCTTTCTTGTTTAAGGAAGGGTTCTCGTGGTCATTTGCGAAAGCCGTATTTCATTTTACATTTTCATTTGAAAATGATTGGGCTTAGGCCCATGGCTTCAGATGTGGGAAACTAGTATTCTTGAGCCTGGACTACCCCAATAGGCCCAACTAATTTAATTGTTGTTGTCAATTTATGAATTTGATTTTTTTTATACACCTTATTGAATAAAAATATTTGTTTATTAATTGATTTTATGAGTATATCAACATAGACCAATATATATATATATATATATACACACACACACATATATATAATTGATCAATATTTAAATTATAGCTCAATTGGTTGGGTCAAAATTTTAATGAATTGAACTGTGTTGATTAATTGAACGTTAAGTCATATTTATTTTGAATAAGTTGAATTTATCTTTCTAGATAAGATTACTTTTGTAGCATTTATTGTTTACCTTATAGCAATTAAATTCGAGTTAATATTATCACCTTTGAAAGTAAAATGATATGACTTTTCGAGTTAATTATGTATTATTTCTAAACTATAAAAATAAGCTAACTTTTAAATAAAATCTCCAATTAACCTAGTAAATAATTTTAATTATTTTCTAATACTTTTCATCAAACGTTTTTTAATACATTCACTTATCACTATTATTTACATATAAAATTCATAATTAATAATTAAAATTTGTTAATGCAATCTATTATTATAAATAAAGAGACTCGAATCCACCTCATATAATTAAATTTCAAAGTCTTCTTCTGATACTCTATAATATATTTGTTTATCATTATTATTTAGGTATAAAATTCATAATTATTAATTAAATTTTATTAATACGAAGGATGATAAATAAATATATAGTATTATAAAATAAATGGATGAGGGTTAGGAGGAACTAGACCTAAGCATTTTTCTTGCAATGTGAGACAAAGAAGCCCAGCTTGCAAAGTTGTCTCTCAACTTGTAATTTGTGTTTGGAATTAAGATTAATTAGTATAATTAAATCTCAGGCAGATTCCTCGACCACATCAGCTTACAACTTAATACTTTCCCTGCTTAGGTGGGCAAAGTCACCTCCTCCCGGGCCCCTCATTTGTTTTTATTATTTTATTCATAATAAACAAATGCTTGTTCCTCTTTCTCTTTCTTTCTCTTTCTTCAGCAATGCAAACACAATCTCTGCTCAATCTCTCTGTTTAATCCACTTTTTTTTTTAATTTCCAGGATTGGGTTTTTTGTATAGTAGTTCTTTGATCGATTGAGAAATTTTTTCCCTTTTTTTTTTGCTTTTTTGTTTGATTAAAGAGTGTCGAAGGGGGCCTCCCAAGTTGGGAGGGGTGAGAAAGACCATGGGAGGAGGTGATAATAGTGCTGCTACGGAAGAGGTGAGTCAAGCCAACGACGGAGATGGAGTCACCGTCAACGTCAGATGCTCAAACGGCTCCAAATTCTCCGTTCAGATCAAGCTGGATTCGACCGTCGAGTCCTTCAAGGCACTGCTGGCCAGCAAGTGCGATATCCCCGCCGATCAGCAGCGTTTGATTTACAAAGGCCGGATCTTAAAGGACGATCAAACTCTTCAAAGCTACGGTACGTCAATCCATCCCGTGTTTTCCTATTTTAACCATCTGTATTCATTCATTTGTTACTTCGTTAGAATTCATTATAGTTTTGTTAATGTCCAACTTTCATTTGGGAGCTAAAAACTTTACCTGCTTTTGGGATTATTGATGCATTGGATGCATAAATGGATAAAGTTACTGAATTCATTGTTGATCCCCCAAATATTGGATAAAGCAAAAGCATTTTAACCCGTATTCTGAATTGAATGTTTGGAAACTAATTCCCTCGGAAGTTTTGTTATAGTTCGTGTGGTTGAATAATCCTTTATTAAGTTAGGTTCACTTTGGTCGGGGGTTCCTTGCCCTTTTAGCTCTGCACCAAGGTTTGAGAAGATAGGAGATTAATTGACTGATATCCAATATGTTAATTCCTCTAGTTATGCCTTCATAAAGGTTGATGGTATTTTCAATTTTATAATTTAGGTTTGGAGGCAGATCACACTGTCCATTTGGTTTGTGGTTTTGCACCAACACCAGCACCACCGACAACAACAACCAATGCAGCTGGATTGAACGCATCTGGGGCTTCAAACACCACTCAAACAAATGCAAGGACTGTTGGTTCAAATGAAGCTGATGCACTAGGAGGGGCTGGTCTTGGGGCTTCACTTTTTCCTGGTCTTGGTCTCGGTGGCTTAGGTGGCAGTGCTGGTCTCTTTGGAGCTGGGCTTCCAGATTTTGAACAAGTGCAACAACAATTGACTCGAAACCCGAACATCATGAGAGAAATAATGAACATGCCTGCTGTTCAGAATTTAATGAATAACCCTGAGATAATGCGAAGCTTGATCATGAACAATCCTCAAATGCGAGACATCATTGACCGAAATCCTGAGCTTGCACACATACTTAATGATCCAAGCACTCTCCGTCAAACACTTGAAGCTGCAAGAAACCCTGAGCTCATGCGTGAAATGATGCGGAATACAGACAGAGCAATGAGCAACATTGAATCATCACCTGAAGGGTTTAACATGCTTCGCCGTATGTATGAAACTGTTCAAGAGCCTTTTCTGAATGCAACCACAATGGCTGGGAATACTGGAAATGATAGCGCAAACCCATTTGCGGCCCTCTTGGGAACTCAAGGAGGAAACCAAGCTAGAGATGGATCAACCAACCAGTCCACACCCACTTCTGCAACTAATGCCAATTCTCCTGCTCCCAATACTAATCCACTACCAAACCCTTGGTCTTCTGCTGCCAGTAAGCTCTTGCTTTCTTGCAACTTCTTGCCTTTCCATTCTTCAGAATGTTCTACTTTTGATGCAGTTATCTGTGCTATAGTTCTGCTGATTTGCTCTCGGATGATGATTTATATGTTATAGTTCCCAGTTTGAAAAAATGACATAGAGAACTATTACCAATAAGCTATTGATTGACTGAAAATCTGGCAGCTGGAGGTGCCCAAACTAATACAACAAGGTCAAATGCTAGTGCGGATGCTAGGCCACAGGCACCTGCTGGGTTAGGTGGTCTTGGTCTCCCAGAGTTCGAAGGCACGTTTGGTGCTATGCAGGATAGTAATATACTGAATCAGTTGATGCAAAATCCAGCTATTTCACAGATGATGCAAAGCCTCTTGTCCAACCCTCAATACATGAACCAGGTGTTAGTTTATCTTGTATACTCCTTTTATGAGGGCTTCAGGGTAAAGTTTTCTGTTTCCTGACATTGCCATTGTTCAGGTTCTTGGTCTTAATCCTCAACTCCGGAGCGTTCTTGATTCTAATTCTCAACTAAGAGAAATGATGCAAAACCCTGAATTTCTTCGTCAGTTGACTTCTCCTGAGACGATGCAGGTAATTTTATCCAGTCTGCAGTTTATACCCTCTCATTCACTTGCATGAAAACATATAGAAGTGTGTTTCTATTTACCAGCAAGTTCTTCTGCATGCAAAAGTAAATTTGAACTATTAAGAGGTTGTTGCATAACCTGATTTGATTTTTCTATTTGACCATAGTTACCTTTTCACTTGAAATGTTCTTTCTAAGAATGTTGTTAAATTTAGGATATAACATAAATGTTTGCACTAGGAAGGTTGACATGTTATCATTCTGGTTTTTTCTCTTGCAGCAACTATTGACTTTGCAGCAGTCTTTTCTTTCACAACTTACTAGGCCACAATCAACCCAGTGAGTGGCATGATTGTTTTCCTTGTTTCCTTTTGAATTAATTTTTCTGCTGAATAAATCAAAATTTCATATCCTTCAATTCTATGTAGTTTGCACCACTCATTTGTTTTTTGAGAAAACGTTGGTATTGTTGTATATAGTTTTATAAACTTTTTGAACCATGCCCAGTTTTTTTTTTCCCAAAGGGCGTGATATTGGCACATTTTATTTTGAAAAGCAATTTTAGATTACTATTTACAAGATGAAATATTCAGAAACCTGATTGTAGACATGATATGAATATCATTTTCTTGTAAGCATTTATGCACTATTTTGAAACTACTAAATAATAAACAAATAGTATTTGAGTGCTAGAATGGGAAAAAAGAAAATGCTTGAGAACAAAATGAAATATTATCAAAGCAATTGGAGTCTCAGTTTAAAAAATTCGCTAACAGATGAGGGATTCTGAAAATGCTGGTATCCTTGCATTAGTAACCAAATTATACCTGGATTTGTGTGAAGCATTGATTTTTGCTAATGGTTTTTTTCCCTAAATCTGCTCTTCTCTTGTAGGGAACCTGCTCAGACTGGTGGAGGTGCAGGTATAGAATTCATTTTATCCGAAATCATTTTGCTTTTTGTTATGAGAACTGTGGTTTCTCTGTCACTCTTACTGGTTTAAGGGCTCTTTGCATACGCAAATCAGACTTGTTCTGATTAGCGATAACTAGTACTGTATTGTTAATTGAAATCAGCACCATCATATAATGAGTGATATGGTTTTGTTTAATCCTCTTTCCATCTATAAGTTTCTAGGCGCTCAATTTTATTTCATTGTTATTAAAGAGTTTGACTACGATTTGGTTACTAACTAATAGTGAATTAAGAATTCAAAATTGTGGAAGTTGGATGATGTGAGTTTATAATCTTATAAAGATTTTACACGGTGATAGTCATCTCATCTCATCTGACGCGGGAGCATCTACGATTCTATTTAATTTTAAATAAAATCCTAAATCAACTATGCTCCTGTGTCATCATCCCTCATAGTGGATGTCTTCCAGATTTTAGTAGCACCATCTATGCTCACTGTGCTTGTTCCAATTCAACAAAATGGCGGAGAGACAAGAAGTAGTTAAAATTATTTAGATTAATGGGTACTAATTTTATAATCTTAATATGTTTTCAGGAACGCTCAACAACATGGGGTTGGAGGCACTGATGACCATGTTTGGTGGACTTGGGGCTGGCAGCTTGGCTGTTCCTAATAGATCTGATGGTTAGTGTTGTCAGTTTTTTATTTGGCCCTTTCACTTTATATGTTGCCCCACTAATTAACAGATATTCCTTCATATCAGTACCGCCAGAGCAACTATATGCCACCCAGTTGTCACAGCTTCAAGAAATGGGTTTCATCGACACTCAAGAGAATATTCAAGCATTAATTGCCACTGCAGGGAATGTTCATGCTGCAGTGGAGCGGTTATTGGGAAATTCTGGTCAGTAGTCTATTATCAATATTTATTTATGTCAAAATTTGTCAGTTTAAACATGAGTTGTATTCAAGCCCTATTTCTGGAAGGAATAAGTTTTAGATTAGGATAGAAGGGCTTGGAATTAACCGGTGTATTTCTCTTCCTAGAGAGGCCAGTCAGGCGTTTAAGTGTCTTGTACATACTCGGACATTAAGATGGGTCATATGAATTGGCTGTTAAATTTGTTTAGTACCTAAAAATCATATCAATGGTCCATTTTACCTTGAAAGAAGTAGCTGATGAGTCAATGAGTTGTAGCACATGTTCACTCTGTAAAATGGAAATTGCCCCAGCATCTGTTCCCTCTGTGAGATGGGTCATATGAGCTGTAGCTGATGAGTCAATCTGCAAATATTCATATCAATGAGTTGATGCTTAAAGAGAGGAAGAAAAGCGTCATATATATTTGCAAATTCCAGGGGAAGAAAGGATGCTGGCTTTTAGTTGAGATCATTCTGGAAATGAAGTCCTCGAAGTCAAACAGTAATATCTTGGCTTTGGGTTCCTCAATCTTTGCATTTCTCATATAAAAAGGTCTAACCCACAGGCTATGACGTGCCACCAATGACAAAAAGATACGCAGGTATTAGCATTTCATATTATAATTAGTAGCAGTACTCCCCCTCCTTCGGTCTTCTTTTTTTGCTCTGAATTTTACGGAAATGAATATAAAAATTTTAAGCTTGATTTTTTAATTAAATTTTGAAAATGTTTTATAATATAAGTGATTGATGCTTTTTAATATTAAAAACTAAAAAAAATCACGACGAATAAATTTATAATACAAAAAATGTGAGTAAAGGCCCATAAAAGAGAAGCCCAATAAAGGAAAAGCCCAAGAAGCTTTCAACTATATATATATAAAACAAGTCGAAATTCGTTTGGAACTTTATGAGTTGAATCATTGAAGTTCATCCCAATTTGAACTAAAGCGGAAGAAGAAGATGACTTACTAGGACACCCCAATGTTGTACAATGACAATATCCAATATATATATTTACCCTATTTTAATAATATCCTCTTCAATCCTGTATATTTATACATATGCCAAAAGAAATAGATCTATTTGTTGTTGACTTAAATAGATTGTGTATTTAATTTGATGTACAATAATTTTGAAAATTATATATGCTATCTAGTGTTATACTTATTCTTTTCTCGAGTTAATTAAATGATTCTATACAGAGAAAAAAAAATTATCCAAACAAAGTTATGTGTATAAGGAAATCAAAATCTAGAATAAAAAAGTGATCGATCATACCGTAAACATTATAGTAATATGCATATCACCATCATCATCTCATATTGAGTTTGCATTAAATGATATAATTCTTTTAATGATCAGACGTTATTAGTTAAGATCGTTTGCAGTTAAGGTTATGATACTAACTTCTTTCCTTCCAGTAAAATCATAGCATCATCACCATTGAGCTTTTCTTTCCTATTGTATGTAAATCTGACATTCTTGATCAAATGCTTAAGCAAGGGAGTAAATGATATTTGTAATCATGTATATGGCGGACACAATATTCAATACACATATTTATCCTATGTTAGTAATATCTCATCCAATGTGTATATTTATACATATTTACAAAAACAAAAAGATTTGTTTGTCATTAACTTGAAGCTTAGAAAAATTATTAAACTATATAAGAAAAATTATTGATTAATTTTCATTAATCAAAATATTATTTATTATTTTTAAGTCTACATGACGTTAATGTAGAAAGTAATAAATACCACATGAACATGTTATCATCCCACATCAACTTGTCACATTATCTTTCACCATGACATGTTAACATGTCATGTTAGCGACATATGGTATAGAATGAACAATAGTATTTTGATTAAATTAATAATTAATTATAAAAATTTATTTGACTCAAAATAAAATTGTACGTATTTGATTGAGTGCAATAAAAGAATAAGAATATTTAAAATTTTTTGAATAGTTTATTTAGGGGTGTTTTTAAATATTATGTGTTTTTTATATTATAGATTTATTTTTTGTGGAGTTTTCTTTTCATATTAAAAAGTATTGAACAACTATATTATAAAAGTTTTTTCAAAATTTAATATAAAATAAATCAAAATTAAATTTTTTATATTAATTTCAATAAAATTCAAAGAGAAAGAAAGATCAAAGGAGTACTAGTGTTTTTCACTAATAATATGTGTAACAATTGATGGTATTTGAAACGCTAAAACATAAATCAAAAACAAAAGTCAAAAGACTATTCAAAATCATGGTGGTGATGTGGGCTAGTCATTATATCGTACAGTAAAGGTGAATTAAGATTCATCAAGATTCTATTTAATGTGTTTGGATTAATAAATTTATTTTTTTTAATTTGATAGGCTTCGCATATTAGTTTAGAATTTATTTATTGAGCTTGACTAGTAATATACTAATCATAGTGGCTCTAATTTTATCAAACAATTTGAAGAATAAAACTATTTATTAAATAAAAAATTATTTTGAGAACCATTAAAAATATATATAATAAATAAAATTATATTAAAAAAATACAATTATTTCATTCTATCAATTTTTTTATATAACCTTATTATTTAAAGTTTACAGCCTATATGTTAGAATCCATTGATTATTCTAAATAAAAAATAATATATTGATGAAATTTTAAATAATAGTGTATCACGACAATTTATGTTTGAAAATTATATAATAATTTATATATTTTTAATATTAAAATTATAAAAAAATAAAATTTACATAACAGAAAAAAAATATGATAAATAGAAGATAGAATCCACGTATCATATTATAAAAAAGAAAAAAAAATATGATTAATGGTTAGTAAAAATTTGTGAAAAAAATTTATAAAGATTTAAAACATATATATGAGTAAACAAAATAAAAATAAAAATAATATAAATTGAAAAACATAAAAAAACTTTAAAATTGATTCAAGCATAAAAAATTATTTTATTATTCTTTATTTGTATTAATTATTAAATAAATAATTATTTTAGGTGAGTCATTAAGTAAATTTATAAAAAATAAAAAAATTATACAATATGTAAAAAAATATTAAAATTAGGCTCCAGCCCCGGGCTCGGGTACGGGCGATCGCGACTTGAAGGGTGTCTACCGCCTCAGACTGTTCTTGCTGCTCCTCAGCCTCTGTGGAGAATTCCTCCTGGGCAGATTCAGTGGGTCTGTTGATGCGTACTTTGAAAGAGAAATGAAATTAATGTTTCACTCCATCTGGCAAAGGCAAACCACTGTGTGTTGGAAGAGCAAGCCCTGGGGTGCATTTATAGAAGGGTTTGGACACGCTGACGGTTAATTCTTTGTGGGAGATTTTCTTTATAAGTAAAGCACTGAAGAGGTAGCCATATATTTTCTTGGCGAAGGGAATATGAAATATTTGGACGGGATGCGATGGTCGAAAATTCAGCAGGCAGATACGGACATCTTTCTCACCTTTCCATGTATTAAGCAACCTCTAAGGGGAGAGTAGCTAACCTTGCTAGCTGTACTCATCCCAAGAACCCTGCATCTGCTTGCATAATGTATTTCATGATGAGGCGTTTACATGCGTTTAATGCCCATGGTGCCAAGTAAGGTGTTTCACAATGAAGACAGGGAAAAGTTTGTTGGAAAGCTTGGCCATAGACGAACATATATTAGTCTCGCCTTTACAATGCAGTAGGAGAAAGAAAGCTCATGGTGATGATGCTGTGATTTTGTTGGATTTACTTCCTTACAAAGGAAAGAGTTTGTTATGACTAATAATCTTCTTTTTTTTTTTCTTCTCATTCAAATATTTAGATTGTATTAATAATAAAATCGTTAACATAACAAATGAAAATAAGTATATAGTTTTTCTTTTTAAAAAAAAAATTCGAAATGACAAAGGTAACCATATATGTCATTATAAGTTGCATAAAATATGAGATGACAATGATAATTATATATGCTACTATATCATTTACGGTATAATTATTATATCAAATTTACATCTTAACTTTTAAAAATTTATGTATATTCAAAGATAAATTAATGTCCTTTTCGTAATCAATCTACATTTTACATAAATATATATATAATTTTTTTTCTTCTAAAAACGGGTTCTGATTCTAAATTTTAATTTCTTTATATGTATGACTTTGTTTTTGATAAATTTGTTTCTTCTCGAGTAAAGGATTAAGTATAAAAAACTAAATAACATATATAATTTTCAAAAATCACAATACATTGAATTAGAAATATAATCTATTTAAGTTAATGACAAATGGATCATCTTTTTTTCGTGCATATGTATAAATATACACATTAGACAAGATATTACTAAAATAGGGTAAATTGTTTCGTCATGTATATGATTAAAAGTATTATTTACTCCCTTGTTTAAGCATGTGATCAAGAATGTCAAATTTACATGCATTACAAGAGAAAAAGTGAAGGGTGATGATGTTATGATTTTACTGAATTTACATTCTTTCAAGGAAAGATTTTGGTATCTATAACCTTAACGAATAATGATCATAACGAATAACGATCTTAACTAATAACGTCTGATCATTAAAAGAATTTTATCATTTATTATAGACTTAATATGACATGATGACGGTAATCATGTATATTACTATAAAGTTTACAGTACAATTATTATACCAAATTTATATGTTAAGTTTTGAAAGCTTTTTTTTGTTTGATGTAAATTAATATTACTTTTCTTAATTAATCTACATCAACTATTTATCTAATTTTTTTCTTAAAATGGGTTAAGTAATTAATTGATAGGTTTACTATTTTGATTAAGTCAAGTATTAGTAATAAGGGTTTATTTTACTTAAAATAAAAATATAAAAACTTGATTTAACAGAATAAAAGAATAATGATTTATTAAATTTTTTTGAATATTTTAAAAACTTTCTTAGATATTATGTCTATTTAAAAATAAAAATTAAAACCCAATAAAAGAAAGGTCCAATAAGCTTTCATCCATATAAAAAGTGTTTAGGAGAAACAACTAAAAGGCCCAATAAAACAAAGTTATTATAAGGCAATAGAAAAATGATTAGTTAATTATTTAACCCGTGTTAAGAAAAAAAAAAGTTAGATACATACTTAACGTAGATTAAATAAGAAAAGTAACATTAATTTATCTTCGATCAAGTATAAGTTTCTGAAACTTATGATACAAATCTTGTACAATAATTATATTGTAAACATTATAGTAATATGTATGATTATCATTGTCATCTCAAATTTTATGAAACTCATTTTGAGTTTATATTAAATGATAAAATCCTTTTGACGATGAAATGTTATTATAATTAACATTATAATACCTAAATCTTTTCTTGAAAGAAAATGAATTCAATAAAATTATGACATGATTATGTTATTATATCACATCATCATATTAAATCAACATACTACGTCATCATTCATTATAACATCTCAACATACCACATCATCAACGTCATGCGATATAAAATTATTAATGATATTTTGATTTAGTCAACAATTAGTCATAATAACTTCTTGTACTTAAAATAAAAGTATAGGGGTTTATTTAGTTCAAAATAAAAATAAAAGTGCTTGATTGAATGTAATTAAAGAATAATAATTTATTTGAGTTTTTAAAATAGTTTAGGAGTTATATATATATATATATATATTATACTTTAAAAAAGTTATGAAAACCAAGATACGTATATAAGGAAATCAAAATCTAGAAAAAAAAAAGTGATCAATTTATTGTTCAACCTAGTTTAAGAAGGAAAAAAGATATATGTTCAAGTATAATAATTATATTATAAATATTATAATATTATGTGATTACTGCCGTCATCTCATATTGAGCTTACATTAAATGATAAAATCTTTTTAAAGATCAGACGTTATTAGTTAAAACCGTTATTAGTTAAAGTTATCATGCAATAACGGAAATCCATCACCATTGAGCCTTTCTATCCTAATACATGCAAATCTGAACATTCTTCTTCACATGCTTAAACAAGTGAGCAAATAATGTTTTTAATCATGTACATGACAAAAACAATATCCAATAAACATATATACTCTATTTTAATAATATCCTATCTAGTGTGTATATTTATACATATATATACGAAAAGAGAAAGGCTTATTTGTTATTAATTTGAATAGATTATGTTTTTGATTTGATGTATTATAATTTTTGAAAACCATTTTTTTCTTAAACTCATTCAATGTACATTAATTAAATGATAAAATCCTTTTTATGGTATGAGGTTGTTATTCAAGGGTCATGACAACAAAATCCTCACTTGAAAGGAAGTAAATCCAGTAAAATCATATATAGCATCCTCACTATTTACCTTTCTTTCTCCTAATGCATTGTAAATGTGAGCTTTGTGACAAACTTTTCCGTGTCTTCATTGTGAAATCACCTGCCCTTACTTGCCACCACGGGCATTAAATGCATGTAAATGCCTCTGGATGGTATACATTATGCATGCAGAGTGGCAAGGGAGTTTTTCCTATTTTTTGGATATACTCTCCATTAAAGCTACTCATATACATGGAAAGGAAAGAAAGATCTGTATGTCTGCCTGCTGAATTTTGAAATACCGCATCCTGTCCAAATACTTCATATTCCCTTCGCCAGGAAAATATATGGCAACCTCGTCTGTGTTTTATGATATAAAGAAAATCTGCCAAAAATGCTTAGTGAGCTTATCCCATTCCGGGCCCAACATGTCATTCCGTAGTCATCAAACGCCATGTTGTAACGTTTAGTTTTGCGTCTGCAAGAAACGGGAGGAAACTCCACGAGACGTCAGCTTTTGATATGTGAAAAGTGCTACGTGTATGGCTCAAGATGAACACTCACCCCTCTACTCGAGTGTAGAAGAATTAACCGCCAGCGTATTTCCAAACCTTTATATAAATGCACCGCAGGGCTTACCCTTCCGACACCCAGTGGTTTGCCAGAACGAGCGAAACATTTCATTTCTCTTTCAACGTTAGCATGACCAAACCCTCAGGAACCGCCCAAGGGGAATTCTCCGCAGAGGAGGAGGAGCAGCAAGAATCGTCTGAGGAGGTAGACAGCCTTCAAGTCTCCCAGGGTGCCCGAGAGAGGAGTGCAGGGCAGATCATTGAGACCATTGTGACGCAATCCGAGAAAGGTGATGAAGGAGACAATGCGAAGAT